ATATATATATATATATATATATATATATATATATATATATATAGGCTCGAATCGAGCTCGAGCTCGAACTTCCTCAAAATTAAACGAGCCGAGCTCGAGCTTGGTCAGGCTCGGGCTCGGCTCGGCTTGTTTACACTCCTAGTTATGTTTGTCTATAATTACTTACATATGATATGTGGTTACAACAACTTTAATGCCATTCTGTAAAGAAATATTTTCATATTATTTTGGTTTAGTTAACTATTTATTTATATACAATATGTTCTATAGATACAATACAATAAATCATTGAAGAATACCACCCTCTATTTATGTACATTCAATGCATGATTTATATAGTTTGAAATTTATATTTATATCAGTTGTCGGTGTATAAGGTGTGTTGGAAAGATGTTCTTAGCCAATTAGTTGAGTATTCTGTTGAAGGAAATGCCATGAAATCAAAGGTCATGACCTTATTACGTGTTTATATAATCTTGTAGCAAATCAACAGAAAGAAACCACATCAGCCATTATTACTCCCCAAAAAAACAAAAGAAAAAAAAAATTCCCAAGTTATTTTCGCCTAAGAAAAGATTCAAGGGGTAGCTTGTCGATTTTTGCAGCGAGTATGAAATCATTTTCTGTGAGCCCACCTGTCCAAAAGTGACCATCATGTTCATTATTACTCCTTTATAATTAATTTATAGATTTACAATATGAATTTTGCATATATTTTATGCAAATCTCGTTAATAAAAACATAGAATTCTCGTTTAGCTTACAAGTTTTTGCCCCAAGGCCCCATTTGTTAGGTAGGAAAACAGCCTTACTCAAAAGACACTTTTGCCCCTAGTCCCTAAGTTTGGTGTGCATTGGACCAAGACTCAGACCGATGTCAATGAGATACAAATTGCAACTTTTTTTACCACCAAAAAAGAAGGAACATGAATTCGCTCTCGGTCTCTTGTTTGTGCAAAAGACGTAAATGCCCTCCTCATCCTCATTATAAAAAAGATAGCCTTAAAAACTTGTCTAATCTTGTTTGTTACATGGCATAAGGTTGGGAGCTTTCTAGAGCTATTTTTTATGACGAGGATGAGAAGGGCATTCACGTCTTTTGCACAAACAAGAGTTTGAGAGTGAGTTCATGTCCCACCTTTTTGTGTGGGACACAAAATTGCAATTTATATCCAAATGACACCCTGTTCTGTTTTGTCATGTGTAGCGTAACAAACGGGCCCCAACGAATATAATATCTGATGTTTATAAATTGTTCTTAATTCATTAAGATTTTATATAAATATTATAGTTAAAAGATTACCACAAGCATGTGTCCATATCTCAATTGTCACATTGTTCCATCCAGCAAGATGAAGATCTGGGTGATGACCTGTATTTAATCACAAATGGTAATTTCAAAACAAATTAGATATAATTACTCAAAGCTTAATTATGAATTAAAAATATACATATTAATCTCTTTATGCAAATACAAAGTTTTCATAAGATATAAAAAGATGTATGCACAATCAACATATTTAAAATTTCAGTTTTACTTGACCATTTAGAACAAAATATAATGAACATGAACTTATTTATAGTAATAAAAAATTGTTAATAAAATTCGTTTGTGCAAATTGAGAGTTTTTATAACATATATAATTATCTTTACATAAAATATTAATATAATGCGTACACAAACAAAGGAGGACAGAAAACGAATTCAATTCCATTCTTCCTTTTTTTTATTTGAAGATCAAAATACCCTCGTGAACCAAAAAATATCTAAATATATTATTAAAAATTAAAATTTATATAATCTTTATTATTGAATTCTATTCCATTTCCTATCAACCAAACATGTGCTAGATTACGATTCCTTCCAATTTGAATTCCTTTAGATTCCAATTCCTTTGACAGATTCCATTCCTTCCAAAATCATTCTATTATTAACCGAAGCGTTGTCAGGCTGGAATGGAATTGAATTCCGATTCCAGCCATTTACCACAGAACCATACGCCTCTTAATAGGAGATTGTTGAAGTCAAAATAA